ATAATACCTACCATTTTAGCAATTATCTACTGTATCTATGTGAATCTGTGTATTTATTATATTAGGGTAGACAACTGAACAAATAGTTGATCAAACTGGTTGGAAATTTTTTGGTTAACTTATTTTCAAAGGACAGTGTATGGATAAGCAACATCTAATCAGATATTTAAATGTGCATGTGTATGGAAAATGGGAGAAAATGTTTTGTTCTTAAAGTGGAATTAAAGGCAAAATGTTTTTCATTTTGGATAGAGTAAGGGGGGATTATACTCCCTGTAAAGTTTTTTTTTTTTTTTTTTCATCTGTGTCTCATTTAGGAGATTCCCTTTAACTTCTTGTCTCATAGCCAAACCAGGAAGTGAGAAATTCTTTTAGATTGAGGGAATACCTGGTTGTTGCCAGGATCTTCAGAACTAGTGTTCCCATTGGAAGATTCCTCCTCTATTACTTTTCTGTAGACAACTCATGATTTGGAATTTTCTTTTACTTTCACTTACAGTGATAACCTTAAACATGACAGAGAGGGTGACTCTTCCTAATGGGGATACATAAAGCAATAAAAACTTGGCCAGTGTTCTACTTCCTCCCCACTTTATTCAAAACAAAACAAAAAACATTTTGCCTTTAGCTATAGAGACAACAAAACATCAAAACACCTCTTTTTCTATAGATAACTCACTCCAAAGTCATATGACCAGCACTTAATGTTCACTTCTTACCCAAGTTTATTCCACTCCTGTAATTGGGGAATAGTGCTTAGAATGGAATCCCCATCAAAACCTTTTTTTTTCCTAAAGTAGGGGAAAGGTTAAAACACTACCAATGTTTTATTATTGTGTCCCTCATAGGAAGGAGTGATTCTGACAGACACAAGGAATATTATAACCCTGATGTGGTGTGTGGAGTATGGCTGAATATACTCCACCGGCCTAAGATGTACTGCTTCTTCTTGATGTTTGTGAGTTACTAATTTGTCTTTACCTTCATTAAATGTATTTTTTGCACAAGACCTTGTTCTGTTTCTATTGTTTCTGTCCTTGTTACACATACCGTAGGATAATATCTGATTAAGTCTGAGTTATTGCGGTTGTGAAACTGCTAATCATTGACTGCAGTTGCGATTAGTATTATTATTAATAATAATAATGTTATTATAACACTTGATTTAATATGCTTCCAGATCAGTGCGTGCCTAAATGTGTGCAGGGAATGCTGTATTTCAGAAAAAGTTTAGGAGTCTGGAAATGTCTTGTTTTAGAATGTACCAAAAAGCAGACAAATGCTGCTGAGATAACACAAACACTTTAAACTTGACCAGGGGATATATAGAAAATGGTGGATTTCTTCTTTGTGGTAACTGTATGATAACACACTGACCATATTTGCATACGTGACTTTATATAATATTGGATCCTGTTTTTAAATCTTTTAGTTTTTTTTTTCTACTGTAGTCTCCATAACCAACAAAGATGGCCACATTGCTAGATATCATCAAATTGGCCATCTGATGTGCCCAATGAAAGAGGCCAGCTTACTATAGCTTCTTTCCATGGTCTCAAAATAGACATCAACAGTACCACAACTATTTCAGTCCTACAGACTCCAGGAACTTACAACTTACATGTGACTCTAGAGGTCAACTGAAATATTCCCTAGTTCAATGTTGCTGATTTTGTAAAGTGATCAACTGCTTGGTTATATCTGACATTATGCTACTAACTTGCCAGTAGGGATGGGCTGTATGTTCGAGTTGAACTAACATTCAGCGAACACACGAACGGCAAGGGCGTTCAGCAGGCTGTTTGCCTGCCTTGCTCCACAATGCACTGCGCCCTGACAGTGCATTGTGATTGGCCAAACAATGCACCTGGCCCCGCCCCCTTGTGACGTCATCACATTATCTAAGAACTGTCATTGCCACACAGCTGTCAGATGGCGGGAGCCAGTATCGAGAGTGGAGCTTTTATTTTTTTTTTTCTTCGGGTCAGCGGTGGCGGCAGGCATCATTATTGATGTTGGATCTACTTTGGGGGACAGTTTTTTTTTTGGAGGGGGACAAGGTGCTTTGAAGGCGCTCGCTTGCCCCCCCCCCCCTCCTTTCCTGATCTGCCAGGCTGCATGCTCGGATAAGGGTCTGGTATGGAGTTTTTGAAAAAATGTTGGTGTGGGGGTTCCCCTGAAAATTCAAACCAGACCTGAAGCGCTTGGTATGCATGGGGGGACCTCAGGCATTTATAAAAAAAAATTAAAATCACCGGACAATCCTGGCAATTCATTTTGCAATCAGCTGTCAGCGGGGAACCCTGCTGACAGCTGAAACAATAAACAATGCTTTACGCAGATGCAGTAAGATACCGTTTAGTGAATTGTCCTCTCTGTTTGAAGTTCACAGTTAAACTTTCATTATGTTCAAATGTTTGACCGCGAACCGAACGGGGGGTGTTCGGCCCCCTCACTTCTTACCAGTTTGAAAGCATTTTGTCTTTTGATGACAATTGTAAACTCTAGCAATATAAAAAGGCAACAAAGTCATAAACACCTTGATGTAGAACTTACACCATGAACAGTCTACACTTCAGGATTTCTTAATAAAGGCTGATGAATAAAATTGAACACAATTACCACTATCCAGAAGGGGAAAAATAAATCGCTTATCAATACCTGTTCTCCCTAAAAACCCACTGAGGCTAATTTCACTCTATTTCATTCTCCAGTGTCTCTCATTAGAAGCAATGGATAAGAGGTGTACACTCTGGAGGTGATTTTATAAAGGGTCCTGCTATTATAGAATGTTAACACTAAAATATACATTGTTAGTGATATGATAGTGAGACCCCTTTAAAAAATCTCCACATCCAGACTACAGATTGTTGTTTAGGTATGTTATTTACTAAGTAACTTTAAAGTAGATCTATATGCAAAATCTTTTTTCTTTCGTTTTGGATACGGGGTGAGTAAGGGAGAGCCATAACCCCTGTTGCATTTTTTTTTCCATCTGTGTCCCATTTCAGAGATGTCCCTTCACTTCCTGTCCCATTGCCAGACAGGAAGTGAAAGGAAATCCATACAAATTAAGGGAATTCCTTGGGAACCCCGGGTCTCCAGAACCAGTGTCCCCATTGGAAGATTTCCCCGCTATTACTTTTCTGGGGACAACCCAAAATGTGGGATTTTCTTTTACTTTCACTTTCAATGATAATGGTAAACAGGACAGAGAGAGGGGGTAAGTGTCCTGAACGGGGGCACAGACAACAATAAAAACTGATAGGTGCTCTAATTACTCTCCACTCTATCCAACACACAGAAAAAAGGTTTGCCTTTAGTTCTACTTTAAGAAAGGAACAGTATCAATTTCACTTGTGAGTCTGTGAAAAGATCTGGTAAATGAGGCTCATTGGTGATAAAAAGGGTAGTATATATTTTTATGCAGAAAAATAGGTAAAAGGCTTATAGGAAGTAGTCAGCTAACCTAAAAAATATTGATATGGAGGGTGCATGGATGCACTACTCTCACAGTATGAACAGAAACGATCAGAAAGTCAGCACTACATAAGGCATGCATCCATTGTAACATTTGTATTAAATATTCAAAACGGTACGATCTAGTTTTTTTGTCTATATGTTTTTTTCTGCTCCTGACCTTAGCCATTGCTGATGACTAATGCTAGGTGCAGATGAAACTATGCTGTATCCTAATTTGAAGACTTTGTAAAGATTAAATTGTGGATGCATGGCTCCTGGAGTGCTAGTTTTCTGACTGTGAAAATGGACAGCACCCGAAATGGCTATACAGATAATTGGGGCCCAGTATAAAAGATCTGTGCACCTCTGACTTAGATCAAAAGATGTAATACCAGAAAGAATAGACGCTATGTCAAGATTTTCAACTTAAAGACCTTGAATGCATTATTTTGTTACAAAATATACGTTATAAAAATTAAGACAGACCTGACTGAAATTTATATTCAGTTTGAGCAAAATAAACAGGAAAAAACCTCAAACACTCTGAATAATATGTACTTGCTGAGCATATAGATAAACATTTTCCTGCATAATTATTGACATGTAGAGAAACATATTAGAATATTCTAAGCAGTCCTTTATCTAGGTGTTCCAATTTAACGTTAACATATCTGCATAGATGCAGATCTTTAGAGATCACCCTTTTATCATTGGGGCCTGAACTTAATCATAGAAAAACTATAGACAATGTTATTTTGTAAATCTCAAGACTGTTCAAATCAATTTAACAAGCATGTTCACAAGCTGAGGTTTTCTGGTTCCCTCCAAAGCAAAAACCCAGTTTTCCAGTCTTTAAGGATTACATTCCAACAATAAATATACTGTAATGAATAGTGGAGCAATGGAATCTTGACATGCAACCTAAATACATTTTCCCTGTAATGCCATCATTTGGCTCCTTCAGCATTCATGCCTTTGGTTACCTTTACAGTCGTATATATGTATTTAGTCAGTTGCTGTTATTTGATCTTGCCCTCCACTACCTGTTTCTCTGGGCTCTGCAGCACTTGTAACTTAATAGGGCTGCTCTATTATTTCATAGTTGGGTAATAGCCAACTGCTTCCCTGGGGATGTTGGTGGGAAATCCTTTCTACTACAAGTGCAATGCATTTTGCAAACCCTTCCACTTGCCAACAATGAGTTCCAGTCTCCAAATCCATAAGTCTTCAATGAAAATCCTGTTACCTGTTGAAGTGTCATTTTGTTTTATCTCCAGCTTTGTATCAATCCATGATGACACTTCCTCAACATCATCTTTCATGTCAGATTGTTGAAAAAAAAAACACAAACCATAAAGCAGTTTCCACTGGTTGCAAAAAAAAAAAAAAGAAAGAAACCAAGGTTTAAAAAAAATCTGGGTACCATGCAGTTTCTTATTTTGGAGCGTCTATGTATTTCTGTAAAACTTTTAATTTAAGACTCCTGAATGAAGGCTGGTGAAATAAAGCTAGTTGGGAGTAAACCATAATAACAAAAGTCACACTTGGGTTATTATATGTGACTGTCCCACAATCATATTTTTATCATCCACAGGTCCAAGTCCATCAAGTAATTCTGCCTTGGAATTACTGTGAGAGTTCTTTAATTTGTCCAGCTCTGGGCTCTTATCCTTTGCTTTAGGCTTTGGTGTATGTGGAGGACCATTTGGACATGAGCCAACATGGTTGTACTGGCCAATATCTGAACATTCGGTTTCACGGTGGTAGAAGTAGCTAAAGTTGGATACGATGACTGGTACAGGAAGAGAGATGGTTAGGACACCTGCAATGGCACACAGAGAACCCACCAATTTTCCACCTACTGTCTCTGGAGACATGTCTCCATAACCTACTGTTGTCATGGTGACCACCGCCCACCAGAAGGCCTCGGGGATGCTGGTAAACTTTGTACCTTCATGATCAGCTTCAGCAAAGTACACAGCACTGGAGAAGAGGATAACTCCAATAAAGAGAAAGAATATGAGCAACCCCAACTCTCTCATACTTGCTTTAAGTGTTTGCCCCAAGATCTGTAATCCCTTGGAGTGTCGAGACAGCTTGAAGATACGAAATACTCTAACCAAACGGATAACTCTAAGGATAGCCAGTGACATGGCTGGCTGGCCCACCCCTCTGTGACGGGCAAGTTCTGTGCCCAGAGCAACAAAATACGGTATGATTGCTACAAAATCAATCATGTTCATGATATCTTTGAAGAAGGCAGCTTTGCTGGGACAAGCAAAGAAGCGCACAGAGAGTTCAAAAGAGAACCAGCAGATGCAAATAGTCTCCACGATGAAGAATGGGTCTTCAAACGGACTTTTCTCCTTAAAGACGTGAGTAATGTTGCTTCTGTGAAAGGTCTGTACCTGCAACAAAAATAAAAATGTAAACAAGCAAGCAAAAAAACAAATTAATCAGCTCAAAATTAAATAGTAACATCCATTGATTTATATCATCTACCAAAGTGTTCCAAAATGTAGCCTATACTGTATACATTCAGTAGGACAATAAAGCACATTTAATCTAGGATAAATATGCAGGATATTAAAGATTTATCTTTTTCTGACTCCTTTCACAGAACTCTACTTGCAGAGGGACCCTTGTCATGTTGTGGTTTATTTTGCTCTTTTGAATGATACCAAACCACTAAGATGCAGTGCAGCGTATGAACAGGCTGTTCAGTAATACTTGATTTCACCAGCAGATGGAATTGTATATTAAATCTGAAACAGATTCCTGGTCACAGCAGAACTGAGAAGTTGCATGACTAGGGTACTTCAGATTGGATCACTTTTTACTAACCCACCACTTTGGCAACCTAAACTTTAACCATATCCTTAAAACCCACAAAAGACAGACCATGGACTGGAGTTAAGTGGCAACAGCAGTCTTTTATTACAACACAACAGAAAACATCTCTTTAATTACAGTCAAATGATAACTAAGTAACAAGTAAACAGTAAAGTAGTATTGGGTTCAAGATCCTTAAAGGTACTATCAGACATAACCAGATCCATATACCTGTGGCACCAATTCCATATATTAGGCTTTGATTCAAACAACAATATCTCAGGAAAGAATTCACAAACTGCCCATAGACAACTCCTGACCCATCAAGTATTGGGTCATGCAGAAGTCCACACTAAAGATGTGTCTGTGACAATCTTTTATTACACCAAAATAGACAAGTAAAGGTTATGGAATAGCATTTATGGTAAATTGAGTGAACTTTATGGCTTTGGCACAGTTGTAATGTTTGCTGGATAGTATTAGCAGTTCAATTCTTTTTGCAGTTTAATTCATTGCTTAGAATGGCTTTCTAAGAGATGATAGCAGTTTTCTGGGGTTTTTTTTCACTCTACATGCAGGCATTTTGTTTGGCATCAATGATCTTCAGTTTTTTTATATATATATATTTAAAAAGATCATCTTTATATAGATAGTCTTTTTAATATGTGTTCAAGCTTTAAATACCTTGTTTCTATGTATCTTTTAAGGAAAAAACTGCTCATTACATGTGCATATTGTGCTTCCTTCTTCGCAGTGCTACTCAATGGGGTGGATTACCCAAAGGCAATAGACTGTGCACTTTCCAAGTGCAGTTGCACTAATTTTCCCCAGAGCTTAGTAAATGCGGTAAAACTCTGCCGATTTCCATCATGTGCAAGCAAAAATGCTGTTTTTTACTTTCCTTGCACCTGATTGGGTATTCTTTACAAAGTGAAGCTGTACCATATTTACTGAGCTTTGGGGAAAATTAGTGCTAATGCACTTGCAAAGTGCACAATCTCTTTGCCTTTAGTAAATCCACCCCAATAGCTGTGTTTACTGCTCTTTCTTAAACTGTGAATCTATGAATTATCTGATTTGCTGAAAACAATGTACTTCCTATATGGCTAATACATCATCTCAACAGTTGCTAATCAGCATATAGCGACTAACTGGGCATGATCCAGTGACTAATCTAGAGATCTTTACGTTTAATTTAAAATATACAGGAGAGTAAGCATATACAAATGTGAAAGTTATATCAAAATGATTTTAAGGCTGTGGCAAGCAGCCTTGGATAATGTAGGGTGTAGTCCTAGATAAGGGTATGTGTTGTACCAGGTACATGGCATTTTTATTGATAAGAGAAAGACCGGCCTGCAGGCACGCTTGAAAATGGGGTCCTGTTCCATTAGGGCTCTGGTCAGGGTAATAACGAAAGTTGGGTATCTGGCCATCATTCCGGGATCTTTTTGAATCTCGTTGGAGAGCTCAGGATGTTGGAGCACAGTGTTCCCAATAGAACTCTCCATGCAAAATTGCTGTGTTATATTTTGGATCTGTTGACCAGGAGATGTAGAAAAACGCTTTTGTGTTTGGTGTACCACTGGAGAAATTACTTTATTATATTGAAAAGTAAATGCGAGTAAATAACTGACAGGGTGGATTGACCAGCATGTTGCTACTGTTTGGACTATTATGCTGATATCCCTGAGTCTTTCCCTTGTGGTTTTGTGCTAATCTCTCACAAGTGTACACTATATTAATACTTAAAATATGCTTTTTATTGAAAATACATTGTACTTTTCCTCACCAATATTGTCAAATACTTTTGATTGTACTACTTACAAAAGTAACCATGCAAATACAAAACCCCAAATAATTTGGTACCACTGACTCTAACCACTGCTTATGTATAACACGGGTTCATGTGAGGACATAACCTATCAAACTTTACACATGGGATGTTCTCTTCCAAATGAGCGCGTCCCGAAGCCAATACACATTGCATTCATGGATCTACAACCCCTATCAAAAAGTATGGAATCACTACTCTTGGAAAATGTTCATTCAATTGTTTAATTGATTAATTGTGTAGAAAAAAAAAAATCACACACATGCCTCAAAACTATTTTCATTTAACATTCCAACCTTCTGGCTTTAAGAAACACTTAAAAAATAAAAAAAGAAAGAAATTCATAGTCAATCGCAACTGTTTTTTGCAGATCAAGCAGAGGAAAGAAATATGTAATCACTCAATTCTGAGGAAAATTTTATGGACTCACCATGTGCTTTGCAATTCTAAAACAAACATCTGCATCAGATTGCATCTGCTAATTAGTCTGCAGTTAAAGTTTTACTAAACCCACAACAGTAAAATCAGTCTGTATATGCAGTAAAGCAGGCTTGTTATACTCAATGTGGAACCTAAGGGGTTAATCTTCTGCATTGCGTAAAAAATGCTGTTTGATCTTTACTTCTCTGATCCTCCTCTTCTTCCAGTGTCCCCCACTTATCTCAAGATAAGTCATATCATGTGGAGACACTCTGCACATGCTCAGTTTAGTGTGTATTGCTAGAGAAGTTTTTTTTTATCTTTGGAGAGTGTGTGTGTGATGAGCACAAGGCCAATCAGCACTGTCCACACAGAGGTCAGGGGTTTTGCATTCTCCTATTGCAGAAAGAAAACTCCTACAAGCTTTACCAGTGCTCTGCTGAACATTGATAGAAGTTATTATTATTATTATTATACAGGATTTATATAGCACCAACAGTTTGCTCAGCACTTTACAATATAGGTCACAACACTACTACTAACTGCTGATGAGAAAAGGTATTTAGCAATTTATATTTACTAAAATAATTGCATTTCCATGCTCTGTGTACTGTGGGAGACCAGATATAGTGAATGCAGGGTCCTGGGTTTAAAAAAAGAGTGCTTGCACACCTTGGTGAGTTGTTGCACCAAGCTGTTTGACATGAATCATGGCTCCAACACTAGAGATGTCAGTTGAAACAAAGGAGGATTATATAACTTCTTCAAAAAGGTAAAACATCATGGAATATTGCAAAAGATGGCGGTCCAGATTTTATACACAGCTGACTGGGAATAACCAAGTACAAATAAAATGGGAAGGTTGTAAATGGAAGTGTACTAGTAGACCAAGGAAGACATCAAAACGTCAAGATAGAAAACTTAAAGCAATATGCCCTGAAAACAGAAAATGCACAACAAAACAAATGAGGAACAAACAGGCAGAAACTGGAGTCAATGCCTGTGACCGAACTGTAAGACATTTCCTAAAGGAAATTGGATTTACAAACAGAAAAGCCAAATGAAAACCATCATTAACACCTAAACAGAAAAAAAACAAGGTTACAGTGGGCTAAAAAAAAGCAATCATGGACTGTAGATGACTGGATGAAAGTGATATTCAGTGATGAATCACAAATCTGCATTAGGCAGGGTGATGATGCTGGAACTTTTGTTTGGTGTCGTTCCAATGAAATGTATAAAGAAAACTGCCAGAAGAAAACATGCAAATTTACACAATCATTGATGATATGGGGTTGCATTTCATGCAAAGGTACGGGGAAGATGACAGACATTAAATCTTCAATAAATACACAAGTTTATATTGAGATTTTGGACACTTTTCTTATTTTATCAATTGAAAGGATGTTTGGTGATGATGACATCTTTTCCACGATGATAATGCATTTTGCCATAAGGCAGAAGCCATGAAAACTTTCCTTCAAGAAAGACATATGGGCCCTGATTTACTAAGAATTGAGTCTACCAGCAGACGCTGAACATTCAAGCAGACTCAATTCAATCAATCAAGACCTGTCAGTCTTCAGAAAGTCATCTAGCAAGCTTATTTTATTTATTTTATTTTTTGTAGACTCTTTCCTGTTAGTAAATACAGAATCACATCAGGCACATTTCTAGATGTAATACCGGATATGTTCGCTAGGTGGTGCACAACCGCGGGCTTTGTCCCATTGGTGTTTTTCTGTTTGCATATGAGAATACTTATAATTTCAAATACAAAGTACACCTATATTATAATAATTTTTTTTTGCTGTTTCTCCAAAAATGATCGGCCAACTAATGCATTTCCTAATGAATGTCATACATTCTATTTTCAAATGTCAAAAATTTTCACACTTTTATCTCAAATAATTTGAATGTCTAGTTCTAATTTCCCAATATAATGATATATCTTCATTCTCTTTAATCATGCAACTATTCTACATTCCAGCTCAAACTCTGTCTCCTACAGTGGCTTAGTGGTTAGTATTCAGGACTTACAGCACTTGGGTTACGGGTTCTAATCCCAGTCATGGCTGCACCTGTCTGGAATTTGCATGCTTTCTCTGCACGGGTGTGTTTCTGCCAACACTCCAAAGACATGCTGTTAGGTTAATTGGGCCTAGTATATGTCTGAGTTTCTGGCCTCTTGACATTCGTGAATGCCCAAAATATGGAGATCAGTTTCCAGGGTTCTGTCAGTGCCAAGAATATTGATCAATCAATTAAGATTTTGGCTACTGACTAGAAAGTGGAAAGGGAGTGAATCTTACCTGC